ATCAAAGAGATTAACACAGCTGAGCCAGAAGAACCACTGTTAATACTCCTGAATGCCATCACCTGTACCCTTAGCTTCCTGGGTCATTAATCTCTCAGCAATGTCCTCACCACTAGGCCAAAGATGAAAAGATGGGTGTTGAGACCCACTGACCACACTGAAATAAATAAAGCATTTTAACATAATCTTCTGGTCCGCACTTCACAGGGGCTCACTCTCCATTGACCAATGATCAGAGTAAGTGACCATGCCTGGTCACTCTAACAGCCCTCCCTGACTGCAAACACCTGCAGCTGTGGAGGGAGGAGTCCTCCTGCCCAAGATGATGCCTTTAGCAACTTTCTGGGCACAAAGATGTTCTTTGGTGGGCAATTTTTAAAACCTAAGAGCCATGAGGAGCACTTACTTCTGCTGTCTCTTACGCACCCACACACATATATAAAAACCAGTGGGAAGATGGGAGACCTCAGGAGGAATTTTGACCTTATTTTTGAGGCTGAGCAGAAAGTCGTGGAAGTTCTTATTTTTCCAATAACCACAGAGACAACGTCAAGCTGAGGATGGCTTCCACACGCTGTCCTCTCAGTGTTAATACCTGTCCCTGCTCAAGTGTTCCACCCTCTCCCGCAGCTGTCTTTTGCCTTCAAAGAGCAGGATGCTTGCGGCCATGGCTGAATTCAGGCTGTCCACACCGGGCACGACGGGGATCAGCAGCCTCCCGCCCCCTGTGCTCTCGGCCAACTGCAAGGACTCCAGGCTCACGCCGTGGGTCTCCCCACCTATCACCACGGCCGCCGGTCCCTCTGTCCAGTCTGAGTCGTAACTCTGGACCTCAAGTTTAGGGAGCCAGTCTTGACTCTCTCCACTCTCTAGATCATCCTCCTCTTCCTCATATTCATGAAACTTCAGCGGGCGCTGGTCACGTACCCAGCCGTAGTCACTGGCCTTGTTAGACGCCTGGGCCTGCGTGTGAAGGCCACAGTTGTCGGCCACGTAGACGCGGGCGTCAGCAGGCAGGTGGTCGGGCACCGCCTCCCAGTCCAGGTTGTTAATAATGGGCACCTGGAAGTGTGCGCCCATACCCGCCCGCAGCACTTTGGGCTCCCAGGCGTCCACGCAGCCTAGCAAATGAAAGAGGATCCGATTAAGATTACGAACCTGCCCAGACAGGGGACTCTGAAGGAAGTCAGATTAATTCTGGATCAGGATAAAGCAAAAATGTCCTATCATGGCCTTGGTGGCTGGGACCTCTACCTCCCCAGCTGTAGCAGCGTCCAGCTGAAAACAGATTTTATTCATTCCTTCAACATTCACCACACAGAATTCCCTGGCAGTCTAGTGGTTAGGACTTCATACTTCCACTACAAAGGAGCATGGGTTGGATCCCTCATCCGGAAACTAAGATCTGGCAAACCATGCGGCATGACCAAAAAAAAAAAACCTCCCACACACATGCCAGACATTTGGACAGGAGATGGGAGAGCCTTAAAATCCCCAACCTCAAGGAGCTTGTAATAAGAGTGGGCAATGGTGTTGGGACGACATTTCAGCAGGTGACTGTATTATCAGTAACAACTAAAGTTAAAAAAGCATGAACAGGGTAATAGAAAACCACTGTGTGCAGCATGGCGATCAGGGAAAAACCACCTGGAGAACACGATGCTGACCTGGATCGTGAAGGACAGGAGCATCTTGTCAGGGAAGGACCAGAGCAGAGGAGAGTTAGAGAAGCAGCAATTAGTCCAAACACTGCAAGTATGATAACTGAGTCAATTAATGGGGATGAGGTGGGAGATGAGCCAGGAGGCAGGAAAGGACCAGTTTAAAGGAGGCTGGTGTGCCCAGCCGAGGGGTTTAGGGTTTCACCCAGAAGACAACATGTCACCAAAGCATTTTAAGCAAAGTAGGAACAGAATCTGGTTTATATTTTAGAAAGATCCATTTGGCTTCAATGTTGAATCTGGACTGGAGCAAGAAAGACACTATTAATGGGGAAATTATAGCAATCCTGGGAAAAACCAAGGCCAGAGCCCTATCCTGCACACACCCTGTCTTTGCAGTCGTGCTAAACACAACTGCCTCCATGCATCAGCAGACACATAGCCCTTTCCAGTGCCACAGGCCAGGAGACAGTAGGACTGGGGCACCGCATATCTACTACCCTCCCTAACTTGTTAGCACACATCTCCTCATTATAAGTTATCTTAAAAGTTAACCTGTCAAACTTCAGGAAAGGTTAAGTAGGCAAACCAAGTTCAAAAAGGAAAAAAGGACGTGGAGAAGGTAACACCGTCTACGTGGGTCCCCAACCACAGGCTCTCCTGAGCACCGTGGGAAACGGGCTGGGAGGTGGGCTGTGTGCCAAGAGGCTGGCAGTCGGGGCAGAAGAGGTGCCTTCTATTCTGACTTCTCCACCCAGTTAGGATTAAGGGACAAGCTGAGATTCCTCCTCATCCTCAGGTCCTCTATGTTGGGCATCACATCAGGTGTTCCCCGCCTTTCTCTACCTCTCCCATACCAGCCACCAGCAACAACATGGCAACTGCCTGCCTGGGTGATACACATCCATTTCCCCAAATTTCACACTTGCTCTCAGAGATCTCAACAGTGAGGCAGGTGAGCGGGGTATGAATGTAGGGACTCCAAGTCTCACTTTCATGCTGGCAGAGAGATGCACCCCAGGGAGGGGTGATGAGGGGAAAGAGCTGGGAAGAGCAATATAGGTGAGTCTTAGTAATGGGACCACTTCTGTTTACACCGAATGGCAGCTTCACTGTTTCTGATGGACAATCCTCTCCCTCCTCCTCCTTCCAGGTTGCAATAGGTCTGTTAGGCATGTCCCAACTATCAGGCAAGGCTGTTTGGAACCAAGGCTACAAATTTCTCCTTATGATGAAAGGACAGAACCAAGTGTTAAAACCGGCATCTATTTCTTCCCTAATTAATTTTAAGTTCTTTTAAAAACCTAGCAGGTGTCAAAATAATTTTAAAGATAATCAACAAGAATGAGCGTGCCAGGCATGGTGCTGAGTACTTGACATTCATCTCACTTAATCCTCAGAACAACCCTACCAGGTAGATCTGTTATGTTCGCTTTACAGATAAGGGAACGGATGCTCACAATGCTGCTCACTTACACAGAGCTACCAAGGGACAGATCCAAGAACCAAATCCATACACATCTGCCCCCGGAGCCAGCTCACTTACAAACAGCCACCTAATTCACCCAGTAACAGGCGATCTTACCTTTGGTGAGTAACACTTTGCTGCAGCCTGCCCCAGCAGCAGATCGCAGAATTGTCCCTAGGTTCCCAGGGTCACGGAGATTGTCACAAATCAACAATATGGGCAGTGTGTGGCGAAGCTGAGTCTCGGGGTATGTCATCTTAACATGGTCAGGTTTGGCAAAAATCCCTGAGGAAACAAGAAAGGTGGTTCATTTGTCTGATGTGGGTATGGGGAGTAATTTGACGTTTTGGTTATTCATCAGTCTTGGTGTATTTGTAATTACATATTACATGTAAACATTCTGGTTGGAAAAATTCAGTATGCCCCCCCCCAACTCCCTCATAAGTGCTTTCAATAGTGGAATGTACACTTTTAGAACTTCTTCCATGCACTTCCCTACATATATGCCCATCTACCCATATATAAGTGCTTTTTCTTTTGTAGTAAAATCACACTCTATGTAATTATTCTGTAATCTAGTTTTTTTTTTTTTTTTGGTCACACTTAAGTGGCTTTCAGGATCTTAGTTCTCCCACCAGGGAATGAACCTGGGCCCACAGGCAGTGAAAGCACCAAGTCCTAACCACTGGACTGCCAGAGAATTCCCAACATTTTCTTAAGTTTTAACTGGACATTAAAGGTTGAAGTGACCCCCAAAATATAAGGGTGAGGAGAAGTGATTATTCCCTACAGACTATAAAAACTCACAATACAAATGATGACAGAAAACTGGCTTCAGTTTCTACTTAAAATACAAGATTCACAGATTCGGAAACTGTGCTGTAAGAAAAGGTTAGGTGCAGTAATATTTTGAATTTATCTAAATTTGTTGCCCTGAGACAAGTATGAACAAATAATCCCAAGTCTCCCCTTCTACAGACTCATTGAATAACCACTGACCCATTATTCCCTGTGGTGTTACCAGGTCGGACCAATCCTTGATATCCTCAAATTTCACCTTAATGAGGCTAACACCTTTCAGCTTTTCAATGGGCAGCTCCTTTATGTATTCCAGACGGCTAAAGAAGAAAACTTTCGGCACAGCACCAGCCTTGAGAGCGTCTGCAATCAGCCTACGACCTTCCAGAAGGATCTTCCCCTGCTTTTCTCGAAATGGCCTGGACTTAACTATGGTCATCACACTGCTGTGGGTGCAAACAAAAAGATGCGTTAATTATCAACATCTTCATTACGGAGACACATCGAGCTCGAGCAGACATGAAGAGCTTCGCAGGGAAAAAAACAAACGAACTGTTAGAAAGACACTTATTCTGCCCTCTATGCATAATAAAAACCAGCGAGGCGAGCTGCACGAAGTCCTCCAACGCAAGAAAGAGGTCAAGGTCTCGCTTTGAGGAGGGAGGAGAAACGAGAAAACTCGACAAGCCTCGGGAACACATCACCTCAGCCTTTTGTCTCCAGGGAAAGCCTTATCATAGCGAAGCCCCGACTCTTCCCAGGTGCTGAGCGTCTGAGATGCTGGCCCCTGAATCTGCTGCTTCTGTCGCTGCTCCCGGGGACTGGCCTCTGTCGCCGCCTTCCGAGGCTGTTTCCCGGGATCGAGCTTCCGCTTCACAACCTCACCAGATGGAAACAGCACTTTCACAGGGCTCCGCCGCAGTGCCCGGACCCAGCGCCGCGCATCGAAGTCCCAAGCCTGCACCACCGGCAGCAACGGTCGCGTAGCCCATCCCACGCGCTTCATCAGCGCCGCCATCTTCCCCCGCCCCGTGGGCTGCGTCACGAAAACGCGCCGGCGGCGGCCAGTGACATCGCTAGCGCGCCGGCGTCAGCTGTGGTTTGTGCGCCGCTCTGCGCGTGACCGGCGGTAGTGTAGGTGGTCATGGCGAATCGCAGAGCTTTGCACTTCGTGTTCAAAGTGGGAAACCGCTTCGAGACGGCGCGTTTCTATCGCGATGTCCTGGGGATGAAGGTGCAGGCGGGGCGGAGAGGGGCTGGAGCGGGAGGGGGGCGCGAGTGACTGAACCCCACCTGGCCGAGGGAGGAGAAAGGGGTGCGAAGTGAATTTCACCGCGAACCCGGGTGTCGGACCTTAGCCGCAGGACTTCCCATTAACTCTGTGGTTTTCAGGTTCAGGAAGCATCACGAATTGCGGCTTGGGTTAGATGGACTTTGAAAGGGGGCTCACACTTACTAGTTGCCGACTATGTGCGCACAGAGGTCCTTTCAGTTTAAGTTCTTTTCACGAATGTTTATTCCTGTCTCTGCGAAGTTTCCAGTCTGTGGGAAAGATAGTAAATAAAAGGTTACGTAATACTCTTCCAGTAAACAATGACTCTTCTGATTTGGAGCCTTTCGGTTTTAGATACCAGCATAATTTAGAGCTCTACTTCTCTTGGGGCTGGTTTGAATGGATCACTCAGTCTGTCTAGGTGAACGCTCCAGTTCGTCTCAGAAGTGTGAAATCAGAACCCATTCTCCTTTCCAATACCTGGAAGTGGCATCTCCCCAGCTGTGATTCTGCAGAGATCACCTGGGTGGCAAGCACAGGTGCAAGCTGTTGGAAGGCTCCTGCTACGCAGGGAGTTGAGATGTTGTCAACTGAAAGAAAAATTAACAACATAAAAAAAAAATTAACAACCTAAGATTTTTGAGTTAATTTTTATTTGGGGACCTTCCTAAGGACTCTACTGTAGAAGACAGCCTCTTGATAGCTCTGAGGAACTGATCTGAAAAGGCAAGGGAGGAGCTAGAAGGTATATGAGTTTTTTGCTTGAAGATGGGGAAGAACCCAAAACCATGTAGGAACATCAAAAGATTACTGCTAAGCACAGAAATAGACAGCTGAAGTTAATGGTTTTAGTGCTTTTCTGTGCGTGGGAAGATGGGTTCTGAGTACCTTGAAATTCTTCCTTAGAAATGCATCTTAAATGTCTAGGACCAGTATCCAAAAGCAGAGAATGCTTCTTGTTATTTTTCCATCCTGAATTCCCCTCAGGGTGTTCTGTTGGTGAGGGACTGCATTAGCTGTGGGTTTGATCCTTGTTGAAATGAAATTGCAGGCAACATTGTTTACAATGTGCAAGAGTAAGAGGTAATGTAGAGACACTGCAGAGTACAAAGGGAATTACCTAAAATCATCAGTCATTTAAAGAATATCACCTATTTCATGGTTCTGTTTTGGGCTTTGGTGACAAAGATGAAAATGACCGTGTTATCTGTCCTCAGTTAAGATCCTGGTTTGAAAAAAAAAAAAAAAAGATCCTGATTTGGTGGGAATTGTATTTGTACATTGCAGATAGTAATGGAAGTTAAAATGTGGTGATAGAAAACCACAAAACACTCTCTCAAAGTGTTTCCTCATTGATTAAAGGGTGTTTGTAAAGATTAAACGTTATTATATATGTAGTATTTGACATGTGGTTTGTATTATGTGTTAGCTATCATTATTATAAAAGTACCAAGAGGAGAGATTTAACTCTGACCTGGGTCCTCAGGAAATAATTCATAGACATCTTCTACTTGAGTTGACCCTTAAAGATAGGATTTCCACAGGCCTAGATTAGAGGTCTGAACAGCTAATGCACGATTAAGATATGTTTGGGAAGCGTCACTAGTTTTACGTGCCTTTAGCTTAGATTACTTAGTTGAAGTTGAGGAGATGGGATACCAGGACAAATAGGTTGGAATTGCTTCTTATAGTATCTTGAATAATATGCTGAGGAATTTGGATTTCATGTCATAGTAAATGGGGAGCTCTCTCACATTTTGAAACAGGGCAGTGATGTGATCAGAGCTGTGCTTTAGGGGCTTACTTTTATGGTGGTTTTAAGGAAAGATCAATAAGGGTGATTTCTGATAGTCTGTGATGAGAACTTGAACTGGAACAGTAGCTGTGGGGCTCAAAAAGGAAAATGGAAACTGACACATTGAGAGCGTACTGTGTAGTAGGTCTGTGTCAAATGCTTTAATAAATTATCTATTTTCATAAGATATTAGACTCAGATCCTAATATGTCGTTCTCAGAGTTACACAACTGAAACCATTTGATGTCATTTCAGGGTGCCCCAGTGAGCTCCCGGTACCCTAGTCCTTTATGTCTCCATGCAGGAAGAATTCAACCAGAGGCAAAGTGATAGGGAAGAAGCAGTTTATTAGAATAGGATGCTTGTGACGTTTACAATCAGGCGGGCAAAGGATGCCATGCCCCAAGAACTCGGTGGGCTACAGTTTTATAATCAAAGGAAAAGTGGGGAGGGAGAGAAGAACTTTTGTGTTTCTTGAGTAGACATCATGCTTCCATCATCAGCTCCTCCTCCAGGTTGGGCAAGGGGGTTTTCTTGTCTCTATGTGGTCAAACTAGGTCCACAAATTATTATTTCTTATGTGTGCAGAGAGCAAGTCCTAGGGATCTTTAACTTACTGAGCTTACTGGGCAGAATGTGGATCTCTTCCCACCATGGTTTTATTGTTTGGGGGTATATCTTGTGCTTCTGTGGCATGGTTTTGTTACTAAGCAAGCCTGCCTGGTTTTGTGGTGACGCAAACCTGCTTTCTTGAGTGATCATTTCCAGGGATCTCCCATATTTTTTCTACCTACAGTCCCCTAGTGGGATTCACTATTAAATCAACTACTTTGTTCCTTTACTCTGTCCCTATCACAATTAAGTGAAGGCCACGCTTTTTTTTAACTACATATTACCACTTCCTGATGTAAGCAGATTTCACAACTTTGCTTGGTTGCCTGACCCTTGCTATCAAGCTACTCTTTTCTTTTCTTTTTTTTTTTTGGCCATGCTGGGTCTTCATTGCTGCATGGGCTTTTCCCTAGTTGTAGCGAGTGGGGACTTCTCTAGTTGCGGCACAGTGGCTCCTCATGTCGCAGAGCACGGGCTGTAGGGTGCGTGGGCCTCAGTAGTTGCAGCTCCCAGGCTCTAGAGCACAGGCTCAGTAGTTGGGGCCCAAGGGCTTAATTGTTCAGCAACATGTGGGATCTTTCTGCATCAGGAATCAAAACTATACCTCCTGCACTTTGGGCAGATTCTTTACCACTGAGCTACCAGGGAAGCCCAGTACCAAGCCATGCTCTCTTACCTCATCTTCTAGCGTGGGAAAGATATCCAGCTCATCATCTTCTGTTCATCTTAAACGTAAAAGCCTGCAAGTGATGATGTCTGTATTTTGACACTTTAGTTTGTGCTAAATATGCTATGTGCAGTACAAGGAAGACTTTGCCATTTATTCTAATTCCCTTACCAGATTCTCCGGCATGAGGAATTTGAGGACGGCTGCAAAGCTGCCTGTAATGGGTATGACACCTTGTTTCTTAATATCTCCTTAAGCTCTGAATACCCTGTGGAGAAGAGAAAGCAGTTTCTCAAAGCAGGTAGAAGGCAGCAGAGGAAATTAAGGAGGCAATAAAAAACAGAAATAAGACTTTAGGGAGGCAGCTTCAGGGTCACAAAGAAATGTATTCTGTGGATGAAGCAATGTCTTATCAGGTGTCTCTTAATGAAGCTCAGTAGTCATGGCCTGAAATTCCAAGGCCTGATGGGAGTTGCATACTTGCTGCTGCTGCTAAGTCACTTCAGTCATGTCCGACTCTCTGCGATCCCATAAATGGCAGCCCACTAAGCTCCTCCATCCCTGGGATTCTCCAGGCAAGAATACTGGAGTGAGTTGCCATTTCCTTCTCCAGTGCATGAAAGTGAAAAGTGAAAGTGAAGTTGTTCAGTCGTGTCTGACTCTTAGCGACCCCATGGACTGCAGCCTACCAGGCTCCTCCGTCCATGGGATTTTCCAGGCAAGAGTCCTGGAGTGGGGTGCCATTGCCTTCTCCCACATGCTTGTTGACAGATACGCAAAACATAAGGTCAGGTGGGAAAACTGTCCCTGTAGGATACAGCTCCCTGCTTTCTAGGAAAGGTAAACAAATCTTTCCCTCAAGTAAGTGCCAGACAGGTGGTCCGGGGAGCCTTCATTGACGGAGCTCCTGGGCACTGTCCACAGCTGCCCTTAGCACCGGCTAAGGCCGCCGCGTCTTTACGGGTACTTGGAGGACCAGAGGGGACTGCCCACTTCTTGTTCCAGTAGCTCTCTGAGGGCGGCCTGAAGTAGATTTTTGTCTGTAATCACTGGGTTGTTTTTTTTTTTTCTCTTTTCACTTTTCTAGGCCTTACGATGGGAAGTGGAGTAAAACAATGGTGGGGTATGGGCCTGAGGGTGATCACTTTGTCACGGAACTGACTTACAATTACGGCATCGGCAGCTACCAGCTTGGCAATGACTTCCTGGTAAGTACCGTTTTGTTCTCCCCGGTTTTTGCTTTATGTTTTAGAGGTCACTGAGGCAGCTGTAGATAATGATGACTAAGTGAGTTGATGACTTTGGGCGTGGTTTAGTGATCAGTTCCATGATTTCTACTTAAAAAAGAACGGCGTGTGGGGGGAGGCTCAGCAGGGAGGGGTCTGTGTGTGCAGTCAGCTGATTCATGTTGTGCAGCAGAAACTTAACACAGTGTGGTGAAGCAGTTATATTCCAACTTAAAAAATAATGGTAATAAATAAAAATGTATTGAATATTTAAAAAATAAAAAAGAACAAAACAAAAAAACCTGCTTGGGCACCTTGTCTCCAAGCTTCAGGATGAAACGTGTTTTCCCAGCATTTAAAAATCAAGTTCGGGATGTAGAGACAGCTTTGAAGGAGACAGGACTCCCCTTCGGGAATAGCTGAACCGTGAGAGGTGGAGGGGCCAGAGTCATTGGTTCATCAGGTTCTCAGCACCGTCCAGAGAAATGTTTTCTCTCTAGTGGACAGTTGTGATTGGTTCAGGCGATTACACAGCCACAGAAAAATCTGACAAGGTTTTAAGGATAAAAAGGTGGCATTGCATACACTATTCATTCATTCACGAGCTCAGGTTATTGTGCATCTATTACAGTAACAGTATTGAAACCACTGGGTGTCACTGAGGGGGCTCTGAAGAGCTCTGGTGCTCTTTTATGACTCAGCGCAGAAAAGAATTCAGCTCCAGCTAAAGTGATAGATAAGAAGCAATTTATTACAACAGGATGCTCGTGAGGCTTACCAGTGGGCAGGCTAGAGATGCCACGTCCCAAGAACTTAGTGGGCTACAGTTTTATATCAAAGGAAAAGTGTGGAAGGAGAGAACTTCTTTGTCTCTCTTGAGTAGACATCATGCTTCCACCATCAGCTCCTCCTCTAGGTTGGGCAGGGGAGTTTTCTTATCCCTACATGGTCAAGCTAGGTCCACAAATAACTGGGTTTTTTTTGTATGCAGAGATCTTGTCCTAGGGATCATTAACTGACTGAGTGCGCTGGTCAGGATGTGGGTCCCATGCCACCATTGTTTTATTCTTTGAGGGCATGTCCCACACTTCTGTTGCATGGTTTTGTTGCTAAGCAAGCCCTGTCTGGGTTTGTGGTTAAGCACACCTGCTTCCTTGAGTAATCATTAACTTACAGGAGTCTCCCATATTTTTTTCTCCTTACAGTCGCCTAGTGGGATTCACTGTTTAATCACCTACTTTGTCCCTTTAGTCTGTCCCTGTCTGTATCTACCACTTGCTAATCAGTTACTGTGAGATACAGTGTCCCTGGGCCCAAATACACAGCAGAAGTGGAGTAATTCGTTCTTACTCAGAATCTGCCCAGGAAATCTACCTCATGTTATTTTGGTCATTTGTTCTCATTATTCCTGTTAACTCAGTAATTAACTCATTGACACATTAAAATAAAGGTAACTAGATGGAAGTTCGTATGAGGGTCCAATATCTACAAAAGTGTTTTGTAAGTGGAAAGGATGGCTCAGACTTAACATAATATATTTCTGTTTCTCTTTCTCACTTTCTGTGCCACTGACTGTAATTTATTCATCTAATAGATATTTCTTGTGACTTGCTCTATGGCATACCCTTTGTTAGATCCTGGGGATACAGTAGAGAGGGGAGCATGTTCCCTGGCCTAAGGAGCTCCCCGTCTGATGGGGGAAGCAAGTAAAGAGACAACAGGAATACAGTGTGACAAGTCTCAGATATGGGTAGGAACAGGGGGATGTGGGAACACACAGGAGGAATCTCTAGCCTGTTCTCCGATGGGTGAGAGTTCAGGGAAGTCTTCCCGGAGGAGACATCCGCGCCAGGTGAGGGAGCCAGGACAGGAAGGTGAGATGACTGTCCTGCACCCGTGCACAGGCCTGGAGCTGAGGGGGAGCCTGGCGCTCAGAGAACTGTGAGTCACGCAGTCTGGCTGGAGCGCAGTGTGTGGAGGAGAGAGAAGGTAGAGTTGAGGCTGGAGGAGTCCCCTGGGGCTGCATCACATCAGGACATTTAGATGTCCTTCAAAAAGCACAGTAGAGCCATTTTTAAGCAGGAGAATGACACAGAATTTGCAGTATCTGAGAATCCCTGACTAGAGCAGGGAGGCTGGGTTGGCAGAGAGCAAGACTGAAACAGTGAGGCAGCCAGCCCAAAGGTTATCCAGTGACAGCAGTGGGAGGGAGAGTTGGATTTGCGAGATGTCAGAGATAGCAGTCATAGGATTTGGTGATTGAGTGTATATGAGGGGCTCTGTGTTTCTCCTTATCTTTCTATTCTTTATGCTCCAAATTTAAATCAGGCAGAGAAAAAAGGAAAACCAACTTGGTGCCATGAACCAAGGAGAGGGGGCCCAAAGCCTGACAGACAATAAATAATAAACTTGAATGAATGAATAAATAAATAATCTAATATTTTAAAGATGATCATTGCAATGGGTAAAGAACAAAGGAGAGAAAAGGAGCTTGGGGGTAGGTGCAAATGACCAGTTTCAAGTAGGGTGTTGAGAGTAGCTTTCCGTAAGAAGGTGACATTTGAACAAAGGCTTGAAGAGGATAAGAGTTAGCCGTGTGGGTATCTCAGGGAAGCGCATTTCAGCTAGAAAACAGCCAGTGCAAGAGCCCTCAAACAGCGCCTGGCGTGTTTGAGAAAATGCGGAGAGGACGGGGGAGAGGGGGAGGAGATGGGCTCAGAAATGACCTGGGTCAGGGGCTCGGCTACTCTGGTGACTCAGTGGTAAAGAGTCCCCCTGGCAATGCGGAAGATGCGGTTTCGATCCCTGGCCCAGGAGGATCCCGCATGCCTTGGAGCAGCTAAGCCCGTATGCCACAGATGTTGAGCTTGCACCCTAGAGCCTGGGAACTGCAACTGCCGAGCCCACGTACTGCAGCTAGTGACGCCTGCACACCCTAGAGCCTGTGCTTTGCGACAAGAGAAGCCGCCGCAATGAGGAGTCCTCACACCGCAACTAGAGAAGAGCCCCTGCTCGCCACAGCTAGAGGACAACTCTCATGGCAACAAAGACCCAATACAGCCCAAAATAAAAAGTGACCTGGGTCAGATCGTCTCGGCCCTTTTAGGCCATCGTCAGCCGTCCCAGGGTGAAATGAAGAGCCATCAAGGGTTCTAAGTGGAACAGTGACAACATGGGGCTGCCGTCTTGCGGACGAACAGTAGGGTGGGTTTCAGGACGTTTACTCCAGTCACAGAGTGGCTGATGGGTTAACAAGACTGAAGGCAGAGGCTGATCTACCATCCAAGCTAAAAACGAGGCCAGATATATTGGAAGGCATAGTGTACATTCTTAGGTATTTTGATTACACTTAAATAAAAGATGCCTTGATAGTTGGTTTATATTTTTTGGTTTCAAAAGTAAAAATAAAAACAAAAAAGTTTAAATAGGTAGCTGGCAAGCCACGGGTAAGATAGATTTCTCTGACCAGATCTTGACAATGAGGGGGGATTTTCACCGTTAGTGAAAGTGAAAGTCGCTCAGTCGTGTCCAACTCTTTGCGACCCCATGGAATTCACAGTCCATGGAATTCTCCAGGCTAGGATGCTGGAGTGGGTAGCCTTTGCCATCTCCAGAATGTCTTCCCAACCCAGGGATCGAACACCAGTCTTCGGCATTGCAGGTGGATTGTTTACCAGCTGAGCCACAGGGAAGCCCGATTTTTGTTATTGAATGGATCTAATTTCTCTTGCATTTGAATATCTGGCCTACCATCCACAAAGCTTGGAATCTTTGTGGTAGAAAAATGTCCAAGACTGACTTCAAAATTAGTAGCAGAAAATTTTGAATGCCACTTAAATCTTAGATGTTTGACATAAAGGCAGTGGGGTTTTAATTCCTAATCTTCTAAAGGAGATCTGTTGTGATTATGCTCTTGGATGATTATGTCCTGTCGTTTGTCATAGGGTATCACGGTGGCTTCCAGCCAAGCTATCAGCAACGCTAGGAAGCTGAAGTGGCCGCTCAATGAAGTGGGAGACGGTGTGTTTGAAACCAAAGCCCCTGGAGGATATAAGTTCTATTTGCAGAACTGCAGTCCACCTCAGTCAGGTAATTATATCTGGACTGACAAAAGCCCTCTGTCTAAAGGCATCTGGTGGAAGGAGAGAGGAAGCTTGACTTCCGTCTCCTGTGGAGTCTCTGTGTTGATATAACTTGTCTTTCCCAAGCTATTGTTGTTACTTGTCCTCTAAGAAATTATATGCTCATGTCAAAACTTCAGTTCATCCCTATCGGTGTTCTGTAGTGGTTTGGTTCTACTGGTAACATGTTGATGCAGGATACTTTCAGCTGCAAATATCAGAAAACCCACCTCTAGGTTGAATGGTTAAAAAAAATGTCTTAGTTCATAGAGCTGGTGTCGTCGTGGTTGGAGAGACTTCAGGGTTTGTTGATTCAGCAGCTCAGCAATGGCATCAAAAACCCAGATCTTCTCTCTCTCCATCCTCTTGTCCTCAGGGGTCCGCTTCTCCCCCTCACGGTGGTAGGGTGACTGCCAGTAGCATTTGGGGCTATCCGCCTGCACATTCTCATTGGTAGGAGAAAGAGAAGCTGCCTTCCTGTGGCTCTTCTTTAAAAGCACAGCAGAACTTTCCTAGGATCTTCTAGCAAACTTCCTGGTCAGGGTTGATTCACATACCCTGCTCCTGAACCAGTCATAGGCAGGCAAGAGAAGCAGATTTATCCTTAGACCAGTTAGTCGTCTCCCCTGGCTGAGGACAATTTCCCAGATTACGGTGCTGGTTCTCAGTGAGTCTGGGTGAATGAGGTGAGGAGCCCACCATGCTGACCCCCACAGTGAGCAGGAGAGAAACTGTGCTACATTTCAAGTACCTCAGAGGCATCCTCATGCATCATACGTGTATTGCTGAAAATTCTGCTACCTGCTTTGCCAAGAAAGAACCAAAACCAAGAAAAGGAAAAGAGAAATTGCTGGTGAATAGCAGGGGCACTTGTGCCAGCCGTTCCCTCCGTGAGCACAAGCTTCTAAGTGGAGACCTTCTCTTCCCCCACGCTGGTCTGTCTCAGCTCCCAGACGCCCCTCATACTGAGCCTGATGGTTGTGATTAATGTTACATGCTTTTCATCCAGAGCTCAGAAGAAGAAAGCAATGGTTCCAGTGTGGGAGCTTAGACTGGTGCTGTGGGATTTACTGAGAGATTGATTTGGGAGCTTCCTGGGTGATGTAAGGGATTTCCATGACTATTTTTATTGATAGGTGATTGGTGCTTGAAATACTAACTTTGATACCTAACTCCTGCCATGAATTTCACTGTACACTTTTTCCGTAGTTTACACGATGCTTCAGTGCGTAAAATAATGGTAGGCCCCAGAGGCCTGAGATGTTCTTTGCAATGATAACACCTTGGGAGCCTTAATTTCTGGTTGGTAGTAGAGTCAGATCTCTCAGTCTAAGTGGTGTCCATCCTTTGAATGAATCACTCCTGTGTAGTCACACCCACTGCAACTATTCCTGTCCCTGCATCCCTTCAGGGTGTGAATCAGTTGGAATTTGTTGATTTCTCAATGAATGGGGAAAACTTAAATCTGCCAGGGAGAGGTTCCTGTGACAGACATCTTGCTTTAGTCATGGTATTGCTAGTCTAGCAAACAGGGCTAAGGCAGTGAAAATTGAAGAAAACTACATTGAGTTTACCATAGTGAGATATAGACTTGGAACAGCTCTTCCAAAAGTCACTTTACAAAATAGAAGTTTCCAGTAATATTAAGTGTTTTAATATGACTTTTATTCTTTTTTACAAAAATAGAGATTTTTTTTCTCCCTAGACAGACAGGCAGAAAGAAGAAAACAGATAACCACTGTTAACATTTTAGAGTATATCCTTCCAACTTTTTAATCCAAAGAACTAAATATATAATCGGATACATATGGGATTCCATTGTGTGACATCATAGGAAGAGAAACGGTTGTCTGTTGTTAGAAATTCACTTTGTTCCTGGTGTCTCGTCATGAGCAACTCTGTGATGAGTGTCTTTGATGAAAGCCCATCACACATCCACAGTTATTTCCTTAATTGCCAAAAATGGGATTGTTCTCTCAAAAGCAGGAGACATACTTTAGACACATTCTGTAAAAATTGTTGCCCAGAAATATTACTAATTTACACTCTGCCATTATGGTTTTTCCCATTGCACTGTAATAGTTAACTCTGTGAACTTTTTAAAATCATTTGCTGATTAGATAACAAAATGTTTCATTTGAATTCTAACTTTGTGCGGTTAAATGTGCTTTTGTATGTTCATTCACTTTTTAAAATCATTTGCCGATTAGATAACAAAATGTTTTATTTGAATTCTAACTTTGTGAGGTTAAGTATGCTTTTGTATGTTCCTCCTTTGGTGGATTGCTGCTTCGTGCCTTTTATTTTTCTAGGATGGACATCTTTTTCCTATTGATGCTGAAAGGTGACTTAAATTTTAAGGACTTCTTGCTCATTTTTGTTACTAAAAAAATATTTCCTGCTTTGTAGTTTAGTCTTTAATTTTGATTGTAATGATTGTTTTGGTTGTTGTGTACAAGTTTTCCATTTTGTATGATTAATCTAGCACATTTTCTTCTTCATGGTTTTTCTATCTTTGATGTCAGATTAAAAAAAAGATCTTTCTCCATCCCAAAATTGTTTAAATAATCATCTGTTTTGAGTATTTTCATGGTTTCATTCTTTCAACTTAACCCTTTAACCCATCAGGAATGTATTTTGCTATCTAGTTTAAACGTGTCGCTTCTTCCCACCATAAGAAACCAGTTATCTTAATACCTTTTATTTAACAATGTGCCCTTTCATACTGACCTAAAATCCCTTTCTTATCCTAAACTAAATTCTTATATATACCTGAGGGTGTTTGGGTCCTTTGGTTCCATTCCTTTGCACTGCCCTGTCCATTCCTGCTGTTTTGTTACCTTTCAGATCCTGTATTAAAAGTAACTCTAGCAGTGTCTGATCTTCAGAAATCTTTGAACTACTGGTCTAACCTACTGGGAATGAAAATTTATGAAAAAGACGAGAAGGAGCAGAGGGCTTTGCTGGGCTATGCTGATAACCAGGTGAGCAGTCCTGGAAAGAAAGAATCTGTTACTTTAGGTTTGACTTATAAATGAGGTTAATGTGAAGGTTATTCACATAGTTTCTTCATAGTAATTCAGTGTTTAGAACAGAAAGGAGAAAATAAAAGCTTCCGGGAAACTCACCACCCAGATATTACCTTTATTTATATTTGGAGATACATCCTTTCAGGAGTGGATTTGCTGAGTCGGTCAGAGGAGATGTAGGCAAGACTTAATGCAATGATGATAATCTGTTTTCCTCTTTAAAAAAAAACACAAAACATTTGAGCATGATTTAGTCCTTATACTTTGACCCAGCAAGTCTACTGAGAATTTATTTCAGAGACGTACTCATCCTACACGTGCACAAAGGAGTGTGCACAAGTTTATCTGCTGCGGCATTGTTTGTAATAGCAAGATATAACCTAGGGAATTCCCTGGTGGTCCACTAGTTAGGACTCCACGCTTTCACTGCTGAGGGCTTGGGTGCAGTTTCTGGTAGGGGAACTAAAGCCTGCAAGTGGCCCAGTGTAAACAAAAAAAAAAAAGAAAAGAAATAGCCTAAATGCTCTATGGATTCAGTAGTTGAGTGATTTATGGTTCATGCATAGAATGGACTACTAAAGCAGCCATCAAAAAAATGAGTCTTTATGTGCTGAGATGGCAACGTTGATTGGAGAAAAACATGGGAAAGAATAATATGTAAATTATGTTACAGTTTGTATGAAAAAAAAATAAAGGATATATGCCTATGCTGTGAAGGATACACAGGAAACTGCTGATTGGTTGCCCCTGGGGTTGACAGGAGGGAGACTTAGAATTTACCTTATTCCTTGATCCTGGTTTGAATTTTTTTTTTTAATCACATGACCTGTTCTGAAAAATAAACCCACTTTCTCATGTCTTTTCAGTGTAAGCTGGAGCTGCAGGCCATTCCAGGGAAAGTTGATCATGCAACAGGTTTTGGACGCATTGCCTTTTCTTGCCCTCAGGAAGAGGTAATGTTTGGTACCAGGTCTTTTGTTGAAACTCTGTGACTAGTGACCTCTAAGAGCTAGGAACCCTGGCCCTCCCTGCTCCAGGTTCATGCTGGTTGTGGCTTTGGTATGAAGGTCAGCAGTTGTCTCGAGAGCAGTGAGATAATAGAAATCAAACAGGTGGTGCCGGGGTTCTCTCTGGTTGACCTGAGAGTCCTCCGGGGCTGCCGGGGAGCACGGCCCCCGTGTGGCGTGACACCCTGTGCTCACTGTGCCTGTTTGTTTTCCTCAAGTTGTCAGACTTAGAAGACTTGATGAAAAGGGAAAACCAGAAGATTCTGACTCCCCTGGTGAGTCTGGACACTCCAGGGAAGGCGACCGTGCAAGTGATCATTTTGGCCGACCCTGTAAGTATCACCCAGGAAGGGGACAGGCTGCCCCATAGTTTTCTTCTGAGGTGTCTCTCTGCCAAATTTGTTTTCTCTCTTGGTGTAGGATGGACATGAAATTTGCTTTGTGGGGGATGAAGCATTTCGAGAACTCTCAAAGGTGGATCCAGAGGGAAACAAATTATTGGATGACGTGAGTCTCATTTCTAAATTCCTGTCCCCTTTGGCCGAAGGGGATAATGTGTATGGAGATGGGCCAGTTCTTACTTTCAGAACCCTGTCCTTTTGCTGTTGGGGCGACTTGAGCCAGAGACTTGTGTCGACTTCATGACTACCTATGTGACTCTTGGCGGGGTGCAGCATCTGTGCCTTCCCTCCCTTCCGGCTGCCTTGAGGAAACCGCTGCTGCTAAATACATCACTGTTCTGCTCAGAGACCGGAAGTGCCCAACCACCATCCATTCTCACTATCTTAGCCCCTTGGTCATATCTTCTCCATTCTACAGCATCATCCTCTTCCTTCCTGGCGAATTATTCTCACCAGCGTACAAACTAACTCCAGTATCTTGAAAAACTCTTTATTCACCCCGTATCCATTCTCCAGGTTCCTTCTAAAAGTCTCCCTGCACGCCGTTTGTACTTCTTTGTGTGTGTGTGTGTTTACTGTCTAATTTTGTCGGGATAGTGATTGATGGAGTAAGTCATCCCTTTTTAATGAGGAACACAGAAACTAGTTGTTTGCAGGTGGTGAGAAGGGTGGGTGAGGGACAGCAGAAGAAACTTCATTGTAGTTGTTTTCTGAGGCAAAAGAGGTATTTTGCTTTCAGAATATGAGAAGGAAAAAGGAGAAAGTACATCAGATTGTGCCTCATAGTGAAGAGGCTCCTGAGGAGGGGAGTGAGGGCTACCACTCCAGATGAAGCTGTGTGACCTGGGGATCTCAGCACAGATTCCCAGCATTTCTGAACCCAGATTTCCTGCCTGCAAAATGGAGGAGACAGTCACAGATTTCTTTCACCATGAATGCTATGATCTCATGGTTCTTTTTTTTTTTTATTGAAGTATAGTTGATTTCATAATGTTGTGTTAATTTCTTCTGTACCATTTCTAGTACTTACCTTCCATTCACATTTCACTCTGTCCTGCACCGGCTCCTATCACGTGGTGAAACACTCGCGTTGACGTCATCAGTGACCTCCCTCTTGCCAAATCCAGTGACTGCTTTTCATCCTCATCAGACATGATCTTCTAGCAGCCTGCAAAGCCGTTGTGTAGTGTCGTACCCCCGCTTCCAGCTCGTACCTTATAGGTAGTTGGTGCTCAGTGAATACATTGCTGCTGCTGAAAGGAGTGAATCTACCAGTCGTGGTTTCGTCACTTAGTACTGCATGACTGACCTTAAGCAATTTACTTCAAGTCTCTAAACTGCAGCTTTCTTATACAGAAATGTGAGGAAATAAGGTTATGCACCTCCCAGGATTGTTGTGTGGTTTATAGTGCTTGGCAAACTGCTGACATAGTAACAGACACTCAGTTGAGGTTCATCAAAGCCAGAAATGTACAGAAGCTTTAGTGTTTCTAAATGTTACTGTGAAGGAAAAATAGAATCTCAGGCAACCTTTCAGTTGGCAGATTGGCTAGACTGTTCTTGCTCTTTTATCACTGACCAACTTCCTCTCCTCTCTTCTCGCTTGATGGTGGAGATCCCGCCATCTTCCTGTCTCTGTCTGACGGCTTCCCCTCAGCCACAGGCACCTTTTTCTGTGACTGATCCTGAAGTGATGTTGCCCACGGTCCCCCTCTGGCTGTCTTTTTCTTTCCTTGTACATTCTTTCTCTTCTCTGAGAAGTTACCTGCTCCTCTGGTTATCTCTGCTCTGAGCTTGAGCCATCATCTGTTCTAGACTTCTTAATTTCTAGTTCCCACTCCCCCCTAAGCTCTAAACAGGCATTTTTGATTGTTGTTACTGAGGTAAAATATACATTGAATTTAAGAGTACAGAAATTTGGTGTTCACGTTGATAAATTTTGACACTTTCATAAACTCATATTCACTACTCAAAATACAGAGCATTTTCATGGTTATAGGAAGTTCTCTTATGCCCGTTTTTAGCTTCCAACTCATCCTCCCAACAGCAGCTACTGTTCTGATTTCTGTCATACTGGCTTTGTCTATCCTTGGACTTCATATAAATGCAATGGCTTCTTTCAGTAACATTTTTGAGATTCCTCCATGTAATTGCACATTCCAGAGTTCTTTTTTTTTTTTTTTTTCCTTTTGCTGAGTAGTATTCAGTTTTGTGAATGTAGTAATCTGCTTATCCATTCTTCCAGTGGTGGACATTGGAATTTTTTTCCAGATTTTTATCTATTATAAGGAAGATTGCTATGAATAGTCTCATGTTAACTCTTTTGGTGGGCGTATGTTTCATTTCTCTTGCATAAATGCTCAGGAGGGGAATTGCTTTCACTTTCTAAGAAGCTGCCGAACAGCTGTCCAAAGTGATTGAATATTTTAAAACTATTGGTCATGTATGTATAGAAGAGTTCCAGCTGTTCCAAATCCTCATCAACATTTGTGTGTTGTCTTTTTGTCCATTTCTTGCCATAATTTTATTTTTAATTATTGTTCAGTTGCTAAGTTGTGTCCAACTCTTCTCAACTGTGTGGACTGTGGCACTCCAGGCTCCTCTGTCCTCCACCATCTCCTGGAATTTGCTCAGATTTGTCTCCATTGAGTTGGTAACGCTATGATTAAAAATTCCAGATATACACAAAAGAGAACAAATCCCCATGTGATTATCACCCATCAACTCTGCCATAATTTTTCATCATTCCTTTCCACCCCACTTTTTTTTTTTTTGGCAGTGGAGATGTTTGTTGGAGAATTTTAAGGCAAATTTCAGATGCCATGTCATTTCACCCCTAAATACTTAACTGTTTTACACATTTTAAGATAATTTAAAAAGTAAAAGTTAAGGAATTTTCTTATATACCACAATGACATCATCACACTTAAAAAATCAACAATGTGGGACTTACCTGGTGGTCCAGTGGTTAAGACTCCATGCTTCTGATATGGGGTGCATGGCTTTGATCCTTGGTCCAGGAACTAACATCCCCCATGCCACATGGCATGGCCAAAAAAAATCAACAATATATCCTTTAATGTTACCTAAAATCCAGTTCTTATTAAATTCTCTCTGGCCATCTAAAAATGGTTCTATATATTAGTTTGTCCCATGTATTTTTTTTTTCTTTACTGCCCTGTGTATTTTTAAAACTGGCTTTAATATGGTTGGACTATATCAATATGAATAACTTACCTGATCCATTGAGTTTCATGAAAAACTAACCAGAAGACACACCAATGATCTGTTTTACACTTTAGCCATTCTCTAACGTCTAAATATGAATTTATTTTCTCCCTGTGTGTCTTTGCTTATATTATTTTATTCTCCTAGAATGTCCCTTTTCTCATTTGAATATTTGCATGTTTTTCAAGGACCATTTAAATCCACATTTTAAAAAACTCTGACTCTTTCTTATTGATGTGTTGGACTTCTGGATACGAGTCATTTGTTAGATAATCTGTAAAGATGGGTACTTTTCCCATTCAGTGGTTTGCCTGTTTATTTTCTTAACAGAGCCTTTGAAGAGAAGACACTTCTTTCAGCCCAGTTTATCAACTCTTCCTTTCATGCCTGCTGGTTTTTGTGTCACATTGGTGTCACAGCCAAAGAACCTCTTAACCTGGACAAACTATGAACATTACAACTCCACATGCCTATAACTTACTTCGTCTTACTTTGGATCCATTCTTCGTTAATATTTTAGGAAAACAAAAGTTACTGTTTATTAAGCATCTCCTATATTGACACGTTCTTAAGTGCCTTACCTATATTCTGTAACTCTTACCATAATTTGCAAGGTGGATAGCATTCCCCTTTCAGATAAGGAAACTGAGTTTCAAAAGAATAAGTCACTCAATATTATACATTCCACAAGTTAGCAGGGCAGGGGCCCAAAGAGAAGTCTTTCGGGTTTCAAAGGCAGTCCTTTTTTTCTCTTCTGTACTCTGCTTCCTCCCTTGGTAGTACTTATATCTGTTATCACAGTTGTTTAAGCTAGAATCCTCAGAGCCAGTCTTTCTTTTAACATTTAATATGCTTTTTTTTTTTTTTAAGTATTTATTTGTTTATTTGGGGCATGGACTCTAATTGGCGGTGTGTGGGCTTCAGTAGTTGTGCACAGGCTTAGTTGCCCTGGGGTGTGTGGGATCTTGGTTCCCTGACCAGGGATTGAGCCTGTGTCCCCTGCATTGCAAGACAGATTCTTAACCACCAGACCACTAGGGAAGTCCCTGATATGATTTTTATTTTAGAATACTTTTAGATTTACACACAGAGCCATTTCTGAATATTGTTGCTCCTCACCCCTTACACTCTCTGAGCAACAAGGCACCAAGAGCTGAGAGTTCTCCCTGGGAAATCCTCTGCTTCTCTTTTGAAAAGGCTCTCATTTTCACCTCCAAATACTGCACACACCTCCTCCCAGCTTCTAGTCAATCTCTGATGCCAGCAGTAGGCTTTCTAAAGCATAAACCCAGTAATGAAAAAACAACCGTTAAATCTTCCAATGGCCGTTTATTGCCTCCAAGAGGAGTTCACATCTCTGGCAGAGCACGCGACACGTCTGGCCACAGTGTGCTGCCTCTCTTCCCCAGCTCACCCCCTTTCGGTCCCACTGAACTGTTTACATTAACCAAGGTAGATCTCCATGCCTCCGCCCAAGGGTGGTTTTCCTTTCTCCCCTCCCCGCTTACTCCACTCATCCTTCAAAACGCAGAAGCTTTCTTGGGTTTTTCACACCGATTTGTTGTTTTTCCCTACTTTCACTGGCTCCTAGAAGACAGAAACGTCTGTGTCTTTGGGAAGTGGGGAGGTTTTGGCCTTCTTTGGCGTCGTTTTGATTTTTAAATACATTTTATTTTCACCAATGTATTTTTAAAATGCATTTAAAACTCAGAAACACACAAAACAAATAAGACCTTTTATTTTCATCAAGGGCTTCCCAGGTGGCTCAGTAGTAAAGAATCTGCCTGCCATTGTAGGAGATGCAGGTTCAATCCCTGAGTTGGGAAGATCCCCTGGAAGAGGACATGGCAGCCCACTCCAGTATTCTTGCCTGGAGAATCCCATGGAGAGAGGAGCCTGGTGGACTGCAGTCCATGAGGTCGCAAAGAGTCAGACATGACTTAGCAACTGAGTGTGTATTTTCATTGAAATAAAAAATCAGATAGTACTAAGATTCTGTATAAATGCAGTGATGCCATCTCTGAGTCCCACTGCCCATGGCAGCCACTCTCAGCTTCACTGTTTCTTCATTTTCAGTTGGAGACATCTTATGACTTCCTGCTGAAATAGATGGATGATTTTACACTAGTTCTCTATAACCAGTTAGTTACTCCTTTCCAGTTGGTCTGATAGCACATTTTTGTGGTTCTATTATACACCAGGACACACACACACGCAGACACATCTGCCTGCAAAACAGTTGTTTCCATATCTGAATCCTCAACTGTTTCATGTGCTCCTCAAAGCATCAGACTTTATCTCTGTTGCCACACCTGAACCCAGCATAATACCTGCCTCATAATGAAAACTGGCATTTTTAAAGGTACAGTTGTCACTCAGTATCCACGGGGGTCGGTTCCAGGACCCATTGGGAATACCAGAATCCTAGGATGCTCAAGTCCCTTAGTCAGCCCTCCATATCTGCAGAAACAGAACCTGTGGAAATAGAGGCCTAACTGATTCAGTCCTTGAATGTATTTCCCTAGCAAACAGCTTATTAGCATACACTTGGTTATATTGGACCCAGCGTTTTAGGAGACTTCTGTTGTAAACCCTGCTCCTGCCAACTCCCCTGCCTCCTCCTAAGACCTCAGCCCCATGGACTAATTCGATAAAAGGACTCTGGTGGAACCAAAACATACTGTTTCTTAACAGAGCTTTTTTTAGTTAAGCAGCCCCAAATGAAATAGTACCAACATCAGTGAAATAGGAAGGAAGTGTGGGAAAAGGAAACAGTTACAAGCTCATCACTAAAATGTCAGAATAACTTTTCACATTGGTCTCATGATTAGAGTGAGTCTCCTGGGCACTAAAGATTCTTGAGAGGGGGGCTTCCCTGCTAGTCCAGTGCCTGACTCTGTGCTTCCACTGCAGGGAAGCATGAGTTCGATCTCTGGGGGCGAACTAAGAGCCCAGTGCTGTGTGGCCCAGTCAAATATAAATAAAGATGTTCTTGGGAGCCCACTGAGATGCTAGGAGTGCCAGCACTTTCTGTCCCAAAGAGCCCACAGCCTGGCCTTGCTCTCCAGCCAGCCATCAACCACACTTCTGGCTGCAGGCTCTGCCCTTTACTCTGCAAAGTGAGAACTGACAAGCAATTGCTCGATCCCCAGCAGCAACATCTGTCAGAGTAAACACAAGACTCTACTGAATGAGCATCTTTTAACTATTAATTTCTTGATTGTGGGCAGTGAGGTACGAAGTAGATTGTAAGTTTTATTTTCTGGATTGAGACTAAATAATTTCAATTTCGTTTCCACAGGCCATTGCAGGAGATAAAAGTGATGAATGGTTTGCTGCACAAAAGAAACCCAAGGCTACAGGTTAACGGAAGGCATCACATGCAACAAGCATTGGTGATCTTGCCCAGCTCCTGTGAGGCCTGCCATGCGCCTTACATGGTGAACGCTCTCTCAACGTGGGGGTTTCCTGTACAGGCACAGAGGCTGGGGTGGCAACGACGCATGTATTTTAATCTTTAAAAGCTCTGATATGTTTTAGAAAATCCTGTCATCATCAGTTCATTTAAAGAACTTTTGCTGTCATCTGTGCTGTCACTGCAAGGGTACATTCTGTATGTAACTCTGTTAGTAATAAATTCTTCTCCAGGCTGGGACAGCTGTATGGAACATGACCTTTGATTAAGGGTTGAGGGAATTTTGATAAGCATGTAGGTTTAATGAGAACAACTAAATCCAGATAAGTCCAAATCGGTTACTTATAGCAGGTCCTTCCAGGACCTGGAGACAGTATGCTGTTCTAATGTCTTACTCTGGCAGGCCTTGACTTTATATATAAAAACTTTTAAAGAAATTTCATGCCTTGAACCAAAAGGTTTGGTTAACATTCTGATATTCCTTGCTTTAAATTTTTTAGTCAGAAAAAAATAGAAGGGTGTAATGTTGCTACATGCCTGGCTCTGTGTTATTTTCTCTCTCTCTCTCTCTCTCTCTCTATATATATATATATATATGTATATGTATATGTATATGTATGTATCTATATATGTGTGTGTGTGTGTGTGTGTATTTTTGCTTTTAATCCTCTTGAGACCATGTTAGATTTCTTAGAGATGGATTAATGATTTCTTCAGTACGAAAAACTTAAAATATTTACTTATTATTTTCTTTTTGATTCTGCAGAACAAATCACTTTTTATCACTGGAAACAAGTTGGGCATTTTTATTATGAAATGTTTTTTGGGAATTATGCTTCTGAAATCAAGCTGTTACAACCAATTTGTAAGAGTCATTATTTAAAGGTGGTGGTCAGTTTCACACTTTAGGGAAGAAACTAAGGAGACTGGAAAGGACTGACTCAGAAGTTACCAGTTCCTACACAATATACATGAAATTACTTGTAAATCATAGCCTCTAAAACCAATTGTGGGTTTAAATGCAAACCAAACTATGTTCCTCCTGTCCACAATTGGTTCACCTTTTTCCTATGCATAGGGAAATTATATGAATTTTGGATAATCAAGTAAATGCCTTGTCTGTCTTCTTTTGACTACAATTCATTAATTCTCAGATTTTCTGTTAGATTATTAAGTAATTCTTGATGTTTCTCTCTAGTAATACTGTTTTCCTGAAAAGAAACTATACTTTTCCCAGTGTGTTAGACTGCTTTGTTGTAGCCTTCTATTTTGCAAAGTAAGTGGAATCTTTGTTTTCTGAGGAGGGATCGAACTCATGCCCCCTGCAGTGGAAGTATGCAGTCTTAACCACTGGACCACTAGGGAAGTTCCTGATGTGGCCTTCTAAGTTTGTTATAGTAAAATAAGTGGTTTATGTAAGTACTAAACACATGCTAGATTCCTCTTTATCTTACCCCCAATTTTTTCTCTTAAATGTTCAGCTCTGCACAAGAGAACTGAATGTCGTTTATCTATCTGGGACATTTTAGCTTTATGATACCAGACCCCTTTTATTTCTCTCATTGCCTGTCATTTTTCCTTTGTTGCAGTCTTTAATATTTTATTCAACCTAAAACCATTTACTGTACCACTTTTACCTTTTATCAAGCATTCCAAAAGTTGGCCTCTGCACAAGGCAGCTACTTATTTTAAACCAGAAGTTATTACTTTCCCTCCCCTGGGGATGTAATGGTTTAAAGATGGTTTTATCCATGCTGGTGTTTTTAAATAGATGAAATTGTAAAGTTCCTCTGTTTTTCCAGAGTTATGTTTTCAGAATAGTGATTTTGTTTTTTTGACCTTCAGGGTTGTGGTCCTAATACATTAAGTTGAAGTTCAAATATCTCTTGTGTTTAAATCCAGAGAGACTGTGATATGAGAGTTCTCCCAGGTCAGCCTGGAGAGTTAGTATGAAATCCACATTTGTCTGACATTGGGATGGAATTAGCAAAGCCCAGGACTTTCAGTGCTCCTCAGTGTGACTTTCTGCCTATCTCACCTGTCCCATGATGTCATCGTGGTCTAGCGTAGTTTCCAGGAGGGTTCCCCTTTGTCCACTGAAATTTATGGTAGAAGTTGATGGGACATTTCAGTTTGGTCTAAGATAGCCTTCCTTTACCCTTGGGAAATCTGTAGAAAACTTATTACTCTGTCCTTAAAGAGAAGTAAAGAAGCACCTTTGCCTCAGACCTCTTTATAAGGTAATAGAGCCAGTGGTTCAAAAATAAAAACAGTATAAAAAGATACTTACTGAAAAGCCTTGTTCCTCCCATCAATCCCATACCCCCTTTCTCCTCATTAAGCATACACATACGTTCTTTCCCCCAAAATTTTAGCACACTGTGTATACTATACCTTACTTAAAAAAAAAGGATTCTGCAGTTGCCGTCTAGAGTCCTTATGGTATAGTTTATTGGGTTTTTATAGTGATTTACAGAATGGTATGGCTATATACTGCAGCACCTAAATTGACATATTTTGGAACAAGGTGTTCTATTATTATTTTTACTATTAATTCACATTTAATATGCATCATGGTCCTAAAAGCATCAAAATGTATTCATAGTATCTTCCAGAGAGAACAGCACCATTGTACAGTGTGGGTCTTGTCCAATTTATAGTTAAAAGGAATAGGCCTTTAGTCACTGTGGTATCCTGAGTACATGTGATTCTTAGGTAATGCGGTTAGTCTGTAGCAACTGAGAATATGTGAACACAAGTTCTTGAAGAAGATACCTGGCCAGATCTGGTTTCCTTTACCCTTTGAAGTCTTCTTTATGGTTGTTGCTTCTATTGTTAAATAGTCCTCCGTGAACTGGAGCTGGCCTTATGTCATGAGCTAGGAAAACAGTTTTTAATTGAGAGTATTGGGAAATTCCATGCCATAGCCGACTTTCTTCTCTGGAATGTCTTTAATAATACCATTTAGCACTCCTGTCTCAGGGCACCATTGTGCATTGATGACTCCATGAAAACACTTAAGAGGAGACGCTGAGCTTAGGTGCCTTAGCCCCAGCACAGGTCAAGGGATGTGTTGTGCTCCCCAAGCAAATCCCACTTACATATGTATACACTCTGTCCCACAAACATCCCCAAGCGGAAACCAAGGCTAGCTAAGGGACTGGTCCCAAGAAAAATTTGGTTGCATGGTCTTAAATGTGTCTTTCAGAGGCAGGGATTTTGAAACCATCCATTCCAATGTTTCTCAACTGCGGTGTTGTGATGCATCAATTCATCAGTTTCAAAGTTGACTTCCCTCAAAACATTAACTTCACCAGGCCTGTGTTCAGTAGGGGCTTTTGGCAGTGGGACTTAACTTCAGCTTTCTGGAAGACCAGGCCCCACCCCCACCCCGATAATGTTGGGTTAATAGTGATAACAGTCCCTGGAGAGACAAGGGGCCTCAGATTCCTCTCCTTCCTTCTCCCTCTCCCCTTCCCAGAGGTTGAACCTCAGGAGAATGGTCTCACTACCTCAAGTCAGAGCGTGATTCTGCCCCAGATCCTCTGCTTTTGCTGAATATCTACATATGCTCTGGGAAAAGGAAGGCTGGGAACTCAATCCTACAGAAAGCCAGTTTCAACAGAATTTTCCCTCAAGCAGAGACCCTTTCATAGATTTTGGATCCCTCCCCCCAGGACACTCTTTATCACACAAACACCATTCATCAGTTGTGCAGCAGCCGTCATGTTAAAGTGATTTATTGAGGTCTCAGCTATGGTGGTGGTTACAGCCTCAGGACACTTCGGCCCTCAAAAGGTCTTTAAACTGCCTCCTTCCCTACCAGAGCCGCCCTGCTACCCTGTCCTCCCTAACCAGCTTCATTTTTCTTTAGTTCTTCCACTTTGGCAATGTAGATCCTCATGGCATCCGTCTTGGACATCCCTTTATTTACATTCCATGCCTCCCACTTGGCCTTGGCTTTCAGGTCGGTGGCAGGTGGGGCTGGGATGTTGCAGTCACCCTGGGTGGCCTGTTTGTAATAGCTGTACACCAACAATTTCTCCTGATCGCTCACCGGCGCCTTCAACTGTTTGATGGCAGCGCAGGCCATCTCAAACTCCACTTGGCACATTGAGGGTGCTGAGGCTGGGCCCTGCTGTCCTTTCTAGGTGGTGCCTGGCACTAGAAGCTGGAGGATGGAGAGTTAGAAACATTCGAGGCTGGTGATTAAGGCCGGGAAGGAGGGAAAGGGAGACAAGACAATGTGTGGGAAGGACAGAGGATATGCGTGTGTTTTCTCAATGAGGCGTCAAGCGTGGGTTTTCTTACAGTACAGATTACAAACGGGGGCCCCACACAGGCGTTCTGGCTCGCACCATGCATTTTCTGCGAAGGACAACCGTTAACATTTCAAAGGTGTTTGTGATGCCAGAAAATAATGGAGCAACCGCTGCTGTCAGAAGGAAGAGTGCTGAGGACCACGCGTGTTGGAGTGGGACAGGAGCCCCGCTGCGGGGGAGGAAGGCTCTCAAGGAGTGATGTGTCCATGCGGGTTAATGGGCAGCCTGGGGAGGGGTAATAATTGAGGGTGAACTGTGGCGGGGGGGATTACAGGATGTTGGAGAATGCGAGGCCGAGGACAGAGCTATCGGGAAGGACCAACTGGAACCCAGGAAACGGGGGTTGCACTGACTCCTGGCTGCGCGCGGCGGGGACTGGGGTGGGGGTAGTGTGCGGTCCTTTGGGGGGCGGGGCCCGGGTACCTGCCTGTTCGTTGGTGGGAGGACTCCGGCCGATGGGGGCCGCTGTGGGCCTGACGGTCCTGACGCCGCCGGCGGTTAGGTGGGACCGCGCGTGCGCTGGGCGGCGGAGGCCGGGTCTGTACCGCCCGGATGCCGAGCTGAGACTGCGGGCTGGGGCCGAGGTACGGCCTATTGTCCCGCCCCTCGGGGCCGCCCATTGTGCCGTGACGCCGACGTCGTCCTCTCAGCGCGGAGGGGGAAGGGCGGCCCGCGCCGCCTCCGGAGTCGCCGCCATGGACCTAGGTGGGTGTTCGGCTTCCCAGGCCCGGACCCACGTGGGCCACGGTCCCACAACCGGTGACCAGGCAGTGCTGAGCGGGCCTGGGCTCAGGGAGACCTCCGGGCCGGGGAGGGAGTTGGGAAGGCGAGGGTGTCCTGGAGACCGGGGGTCGGGAGGCCGGGCTCTAGTCCACCACTCCTCCGCCCGCCTCTGACCAGCTCCGGGCCCCTTTCCACGCGAAGGGCCCAGCGGATGAGAAGTTTACGTTCCCGAGAGTTGTCAGGTTCGGGCACGTGTTTTGGAAAAGGCCGGGCTCCGGGAGCGCCTGGGAGAATCCGCTTGGATCCCTGACAGTCTCATTCATTGAATGTCTGTTGAGTTCTTGAGCAAGTGTCTGACTCTCTTGAGGTGCTCATGGATAGAAGAAGATGATACCATATCCGTTTCACCGGAGTTTGGGCAACTTTTCACTGAGGTCACGTGTGTACAGGGGCGAGCCTGGTGCCTTTGCGCGGGACTAGCGTTCTTCAGACCAGCAGTTGTGGGCGCCGGTTGCGGCAGCGGAGGTGGCACGTGCTTCTTGAATACTGAGAGGCCAGGTCTGGGAGAAGGGAGTGGGGAGAAGGGAGTGCAGCTGCTTGCCCAGCGCCAGCCCCCTCCTGCCAGACGTGCCCCTAAGGGACTGAGACCTGGAGGCTGTCCTGGAAGGGCTGGGCTGAGGCTTCCAAAGGTGTGCCAGTATTAGGAGGCTGTAGAGGAATATTCTGGACCCTGCCCCCAGCCAGCTCTTCCATGCTGGGGGGGTAGAGTTGGTAGAGTTTGGAGCCTGGAGCTGCGGTGATCTCTCTCCCAGTCCCACCGCTTTAGAGTTCCGACATACTGCGCAAATTGCTTCGGAGTCTTAACGTTCTCATCTCTGCAACAGGAATGGTCCTCAAAAGGTTAATGTCACCATCAAAAGAGATCTTATACGCATACCAACCAGCACAGTGCCTGGTACAGAGTAAGCACTTAATCAACATAAGGAGTGGGCACTCACAAGCACCAGTTAACCATAAGTGATAAAACACTTGGGATTTGCCCAGCCATTAACTGCTTCTGGGACTTACTCCTTCAGGTAGCACAAATGTCCCTGGAAGGTGAGTCTCTGGTTCCAAACATCTCAACTGAGTGGATAGTGCAATAAAATTAAATGTACAGAGTCAGAAGGGAGCCTATTTGGGGGCCCTGGCAGAGCAGCCTGAGCCAGAAAGAAGGCCCAGAACACCCAGGGAGACTCCTCAGCAACCCAGCTCCTCCAGGGAGTCTGCCTCAGCCACTGGGCAGCCAGGTGGCGTGCCCTCGCGAACAGTGGATTGCAGCAGAAAACAGTGTATTTACGCTCCTAATGGAAAGGGCAGGCTAGAACCCTGGCCCATGAAGATGGAGAAGCTGTGTCTTTGGGGGCACGAGGGACTGGCCCTGAGAAAGAGGGGAGAAGTCAGGAATATTGAAGAGTGAGCAGTGTTTGTACAGTGATTTAGTTTCTCAGCCAAAGGAAATACACCTTCGAGAGCTCTGTGTGATGTTTCTGAGCTGGAGGAAGGGAAAGAGTAGGGTCAAGATTCCAGTTCTGCCAACGGTGGAAAGGTTTGGGGGAACCAGAGTTCATCAAGCACCTAATCAGGGTTTTTTCTTTTTTTGGTTGCACCCAGTCTTAGTCGTGACATGGGAGATCTTTTAGTTGCGGCATGTGGGATCTAGTTGCCTGACCAGGGATTGAACCCTGCCTGGCCCTCTGCATTGGGAGCCTGGGGTTGTAACCACTCGATCACCAGGGAAGTCTCAGACTCTGTCCTGTCTAATTGTTGTTCAGTCACTCAGTCATGTCGGACTTATTGTAGCTATATCTTATTTAACCCTCAGCAGCCCTGAGAGATGGGTTTGGGAGCCAACAGTGGGCACAGACCCAATGCCAAAGGCTTGCCTAGTATGTACTGTTAATATTTGACCCTCACAGTTATAATGTGCAGTCTGTATTATCCCCACATATGCAAGAAGGGAAGCTCAGAGAAGTAATCTGTCCAAGATAACACCGCTTTTGAATGGCTGAGCTAGGATTTAATACATGTCTGTCTAAACATCCCCTTCCTTGCTAAGTCTATGTTGACTCATGGCTCACTGAAGAAAGGACTCTTCTGAATCAAGTGCAGTCTTTTTTTTTATCTATTTTCCTCTTGGTTTCTACAAAAGAAACCAGGACCCTTAGCAGCTTATTCTCTGATGGAAAAAGTTGTAGGAATTGAATTGTTTCCTTAAAAGGCAGAGCATTTGAGATCCATTTGCAAGACAAGATTTTTAGAGAGAAGTAAGGAGGACGCACTTGTCTGAGTGCTGCTGTACCCACAGCCCTGGTCCATGCCCCCTCCTAGTCTGTATTGTTGCTTAGAAGCTCAGTGTCGTGTCCTGCAGTACGTACTTGGTGGCTGCTGTAGTTTGGTTCTGTCCTTGTTTTCTTTCTCTCTCTCTCTCTCAACACTTCCTCCCCAAAGCCTCTGCTGGTCCATCCTTTGCTGGAGGGCCTCACCTCCAGGCAGATTCCTTGAGTTGCCTTTCAAGGCTGACTTTCCAGCCCCCTGGTCCCATTGCCAGAGGACATCTCTAATGTTCTTCCTTCAAACTCCAAATGACCAAAACTGACCAGTGTTCCCTCCCAGCCCAGTTCTTGTGTTCCCTGTGTCCAGCGGTGCCTGTTGTCTTCCCAGTTGCAGGCTAGAGAGCTTTGTTGTTGTTAGTTAATCGCTAAGTCATGTCTGACTCTTGTGACCCCTGCTGGACTGTAAGCCTGCCAGGCTCCTCTGTCCATGGGATCTCCCAGGCAGGAATACTGGAGTGGGTTGCCATTTCCTTCTCCAGGGACTCTTCCTGACTGAGGGATTGAACCCAGGTCTCCTGCATTAGCGGGCAGATTCTTTACCACTGAGCCACCAAGGGAAGCCCCTAGAGAGCTGGGAGTCCTTTTTGATTCCTCGGGTAAATCTTTCGACTCCAGGTCTGCAGCAGCTCCTGGAGCCACGCCTTTTTCCCCCGCTCCCACCGACCTCATTCAGAACCCTTATCATCTGTACCCCTAATCATGACAGCCCACCAACCAACTGCTGTCTCTCTCTAACCTCTGCTTACTGTTCTGGAAAATTTTTCACCATGTTCTATCCTGTTGGACTTCTGTCTTCGCAGGACCTTTGAATATCTGTGAGGAAATGACTATCCTGCACGGGGGCTTCTTGCTGGCCGAGCAGCTTTTCCGCCCCAAAGCGCTGGCTGAACTGACCAAGTCTGACTGGGAGCACGTTGGGCGGCCCATTGTGGAGGCTCTGAGGGAGATCTCCTCTGCCACAGCCTGCTCCCAGTCCTTTGCCTGGAAGAAGAAAGCACTGATCGTCATCTGGGCCAAGGTGCTAGAGCCCTACCCCATCACTCCTTCCGACATGGAAACCCGCTGGCAGGAAGATGTGTTCTTCTCTGTGGGCAACATGATCCCCACCATCAATCACACAGTCCTCTTTGAGCTGCTCAAGTCACTGGAAGCCTCTGGACTCTTTATCCAGCTCCTGATGGCCCTGCCCACCACTGTCTGCCGTGCAGAACTAGAGCGCTTTTTGGAGCACATGACCATCGACACTTCTTCCAAGGACGTGGCCTTCTTCCTCGACGTCTGGTGGGAAATGATGAAGCACAAGGGCAATCAGCAGGACCCTCTGCTCTCCCAGTTCCGGACAATGGCCCACAAGTACCTGTCCTCCTCCGATGACTTCTCCCACCCCCCGAAGAGGTTCAAGTCTGATCCAGATGTGTGTCCAACCATGCCCCTGCTGGCCATGCTGCTCACGGGGCTGAAACAAATCCAGGACAGGATCCTGTGCCCTGGGATGAAGTGCTGCGCCTTAGCCAACTTGGCTGACATGCTGACCGTGTTTGCGCTGATGGAGGAGGACCCCCAGGAAGTGTCCGTGACCGTGTACCTGGACAAGCTGGCCACGGTGATCTCTGTGTGGAACTCGGACACCCAGAACCCATATCACCAGCAGGCACTGGCAGAGAAGGTAAAGGAGGCGGAGCGGGACATCAGCCTGACCTCCCTGGCCAGGCTGCCGAGTGAGACCATCTTCGTGGGCTTCGAGTTCCTGCGCAGCCTGCTGCAGGAGTGGGGGGAGGAGCTGCAGGCCTTGCTCAACAGCAGCCAGGGGACCAGCTACGACAGCTTCCGCCTCTGCGACAGCCTGACCTCCTTCAGCCAGAACCTGAAGCTCTACCTGGACACCACCAGCCTGGCCAAGGAGGAGAGGCAGGTGGTCTCCGAGCTGGCAGAGTGCGTGGGGGACTTCCTGAGGAAGACGAACAGGGTAGTGAGGAGCAAGGGCAGCGAGCAGGACATTACCGCCTCCATTGCCATGGCCATCATCGAGCAGAAGATGGACCGCCACATGGAGATGTGCTACATCTTTGCCTCCGAGAGGAAGTGGGCCTTCTCGGACGAGTGGCTGTCATGCCTGCTCAACAACCGGGCTCTCTTCCGAGAGCCGGGCCTGGTGTTAAAGCTGCTGGAGACGGTGATGGAAGTCGGCACGACAGACAGGGCCGTCTCCGAACCTCAGATCAAACAAGTGGTCGACTTGATCCTGGAGTGTTACGCACACCTCTCTCTGCCAGATAAAAATAAAGTCCTCTCTGGGGTCCTGCTCTCCTGGGGGCGCAAGGGTCTCTCCGAGAAATTGTTAGCTCACTTGGAGGGCTTTCAGGAGGACCTCAACACGACTTTCAACCAGCTCACACAGAGCGCCTCTGAACAGGGCTTGGCTAAGGCTGTTGCTTCCGTGGCCCGCCTGGTCATCCTGCACCCGGAGATCACAGTGAAGAA